CGCCCCGACCGGCCCCGGCCCCCCGCACCGCCCGGCCGGCTGCCTTTCCCCTCGGCGCGCCGCCATCCGGCTGCATTCCCCTCCTGCACCCCGGCCCCGTTGCGTTTCCCCTCGGTGCACCCCAATCCTGGTGCATTTCCCCTCCTGCTCCCCAATCTGGGTGCATTTCCCATCACTGCACCCCAACCCCATTGCATTTCCCCTCCTGCACCCCAGTCTGGGTGCATTCCCCCTCACTGCACCTCAACCCCATTGCATTTCCCCTCCTGCACCCCAATCTGGGTGTATTTTGCCTCCATGCACCGCCATCCAGCTGCATTTCCCCTCTGTGCACTGCAATTCAGGTGCATGTCCCCTCGCTGCACCCTGTCACCATTGCATTTGCCTTCCATGCACCCCAACCCCATTGCATTCCTCCTCCTGCACCCCAATCCGGCTGCATTTCCCATCACTGCACCACAACCCTGTTGCATTTCCCCATCCAACACCCCAATCTGGCTGCATTTCCCGTCAGTGCACCCTGTCTCCATTGCATTTCCCCTCCTGCACCCCAGTCTGCGTGCATTTCCCCTACATGCACCGCAATCGAGGTGCATTTCCCCTCGCTGTACCCTGTCACCATTGCATTTCCCCTCCTGCACCCCAATCCGGGTGCATTTCCCCTCGGTGCACCCCAACCTAATGGCATTTCCCCATCCAGCACCTCCTTCTGGGTGCATTCCCTGTTCAGCACCCCAATCCGGAGGCATTTGCCATCACCACACCCCAGCTCCATTGCATTTCCCCTCCTGCACCCCAATCCAGGTGCATTTCCCATGACTGCACCCCCACCTAACTGCATTTCCCCATCCAGCACCTCCTTCTGCATGCATTTCCCCTCTTGCACTCCAATCTGGGTGCATTTTGCCTCCCTGCACTGTGGTCCAGGTGCATTTCCCCTCGCTGCACCCTGTCTCCATTGCATTTCCCCTTCTGCGCCCCAATCTGGGTGCATTTCCCCTCCATGCACCCAACCCCATTGCATTTCCCCTCCGTGCACCCCAATCTGGGTGCATTTTGCCTCCATGCACCGCCATCCAGCTGCATTTCCCCTCCATGCACTGTGATCCAGGTGCATGTCCCCTCGCTGCACCCTGTCTCCATTGCATTTCCCTTCCATGCACCCCAACCCCATTACATTTCCACATCCAGCACCCCAGTCCAGGTGCATTTCCCCTCCATGAACCCCAGCTCCATTACATTTCCCCTCGTGCACCCCAACCCCATTGCATTTCCCCTCCTGCACCCCAATCCGGCTGCATTTCCCCTCCATGCACCCCAACCCCGTTGCACTTCCCCACCCAGCACCCCATCCCAAGGGCATTTCTTTTCAGGACGCCTCAGTCCAAGCGCATTTCCCCTCTGTGCAACCCGATCCGGGTGCGTGTCACCCCTATCCCCTCCGTGTTCCGACTGCATTTTCCCCTTCCACCCCAGTCCCGGTGCCTTCCCCCCATCTGGAAATCGGCGCTGGCGTTGCCGAAGGGTCTGTTCCCTTCAGCGTGCTGCAGTTCAGGACCGGTAGCTGGATATTTTCCCTTTTCTCCCAGGAATTTTCCCTTTTGTTTTCTCTGCCTCTCACCTCTCTCTGTGCACGCCCAGGTTTACGCATCCATGAATACCTGTATTTTCAAGTGCTGAGCCCGGGAGACATCCGCTACATCTTCACCGCCACTCCCGCCAAGGATTTTGGCGGTGTGTTTGTAAGTATTAAGAACTGAATTTGTCTTGGGTCCCCCCATCCTAATATTTCTCCGCTGCAGGACCCGGTGATTTGAAGCCTTTTATAAAAATGTAGCTAATTGCTCTTCCGTGAGCCTTTCCCTAAGGAAGGAGGCACACGCTGGTCCCTGCCTTCAGCCTCAGCGGGCTTTCGGAGGGGGAGTTTGGTCCCACGTGTGGTCAGGGAGCGCATGCCCCGCTCTGTCCTCCTCCAGGGGCTGAGAGAGGCACAGCCGCGTCCCAGGAGGGCTCGTCGGGCTCCCACGGGGAACGGCAGGGAGAAACCAACGGGTCTTACAGATGTGAGACCTTTCCCCGAATAAATCCGGGGATGCAGGAGCAGATCTGCTAGGAAACGTGTGGTACATCGACGTGACCGGAGGAAAAGATGCTTTCTGGCTCTGCACGTGTTCCCCGGGAGCACTTGTATGTATGGGCGGTGCCGTGCCTCAGTTTCCCCTCCCCATGGTCACACCAAGGTCTAGGCAAGCTCGGGACAGCTCCGCAGAGGCTGGAAAGGGGCAACCAGCGTCCCTGCACCGGGAAGCCCTAAAATCTCCCGCAAAGCCCACCCCGCAGGGGGATCAGCAGAGCACAGGACAGCGGGGCCGGCCGCGGCAGGGCTGGGAAGCCACCCCTCACTCACCCCTGCCCGTCTCCCTTCTCGGAGAACACAAGGTACGACCAGATCCACCTGGTCCCGGCGGATCCCCCCGAAGCCTGCGGAGAGCTGAACAATGGCGTTTTCATCCAGGACCAGATCGCTTTGGTGGAGAGGGGGTACGTCTGGCGTCGCGGGAGCTGTTTGGGGGGACCCTCAGGCAGGAGGGGTGACAGTGCCACGGACACGTTTTCCCATCACCTCCAGCTTCTTCCCGTGACTTACCTGTGGGTATACAAGGAAAACGTGAGGTTGCTCCTACACCAGAGCGTTTCATGTGGCGTCTCTTAGAAAACAGCCTGCGCCAAGTTGGAAAACAGCCCTATTTTATTTTATTTTTTTTTTAGGAGAGAGTGGCAGGGTGTGGGCAGCCTGTTCCTAAAATACAGGCTCAAAGAGGAGCAGGGTTTGGGGGAGGCGCGGGGCCAGCGAGACAGTCCCTGGTTCGGGCATTTCCAGGCAAGCTCCGGCACTTGCAGGTTTCGTACCTGCCGAGGATCTGCTTGTGGCCACCAAAGATCTGTCGCTCTCTGCCCCAGGGGTTGCTCGTTCCTGTCGAAGACGCGTGTGATCCAGGAGCACGGCGGACGGGCGGTGATCATCGCAGATAACGCCTACGATAACGACAGCTTCTACATCGAGATGATCCAGGACAGCACCAGGCAGACAGCCGACATCCCCGCGCTCTTCCTGCTGGGCAGGGACGGGTAGGTGCCTCGGCCAATGGATGTCTCATCTTCCCATGCGTGGAATATCCCACGGGAAGGGCCAAGCGACAGCCTTGTCCCCACAAAACAGGGATCAGCGTGTCCCACCTGGGCTTGGTGAACCAGATTTTTAGCGAATTCACTCACTTTGGGGCCGGTCCTGTTCAATATCTTCATTGATGATCTGGATGAGGGGATTGAGGGCACCTTCAGGAAGTTTGCAGGTGACACCAAGTTGGGTGGAAGTGTCGATCTGCTGGAGGGCAGAAGGCCCTACAGAGGGACCTGGCCAGGCTGGAGCTATGGGCCCAGGCCACTGGGTGAGGGTCAACAAGGCTCAGGGCCGGGTCCTGCACTTGGGTCACAACAACCCCAGGCAACGCTACAGGCGTGGGGAGGAGCGGCTGGGAGCTGCCTGGTGGGAAAGGGCCTGGGGGTGCTGGTCGACAGCCAGCTGAACGTGAGCCAGCAGTGTGCTCAGGTGGCCAAGAGGGCCAGTGGCATCCTGGCTTGTATCAGGAACAGTGTGGCCAGCAGGAGCAGGGAGGTGATGGTGCCCCTGTGCTGGGCACTGGTGAGGCCGCCCCTCGAATGCTGTGCTCAGCGCTGGGCCCCTCACCCCAAGGCGGCCATGGAGGGGCTGGAGCGTGGCCAGAGCAGGGCAGCGAGGCT